GTTCACACAAGCTTCCTAACAATACCCTAAACTTAAAGTATACTCCCCTCTCCTCCCTCCCTCCCTCTTTTCTTTCTGGAGGATGAGGCAAGAAAGGGTCTCTTACAGTCCAGGTTGTACTCAAACTCAGAATCATAGAAGATAATCTTGAGCTGGGCTTTAGTGGTGCATGCCTTTAATCCCAGCACTCGGGAGGCAGAGGCAGGCGGATCTCTGTGAGTTCGAGGCCGGTCTGGTCTCCAGAGCGAGTGCCAGGATAGGCTCCAAAGCTACACAGAGAAACCCTGTCTCGAAAAACAAAACAAAAAACAAAACAAAAAGAAGAAGAAGAAGAAGAAGAAGAAGAAGAAGAAGAAGAAGAAGAAGAAGAAGAAGAAGAAGAAGATCTTGAACCTCTGCTCCTCCTGGCTTTAGTGCTCAAATTCTGGCCATGCATGCCAAGCCTGATTTTTAATTTGGCCATGCACACCAGCCCTGGTTTATACAGTGCTAGAGATCAAAGCCAGGACTATAAGGACACTAAGCAAGTGCTCTACCCAGCCCCAGCCCCAGCCCAGCCACCTGTACATCATAGTCCAAGTACCAGATTATTTTTGTCAGCAATTTTGTAAATAAATAACAAATGCTAACACACACACACACACACACACACACACACACACACACACACACACACAGAACACCTAACTCATACTCAAAGATCTTGTTATTTTCTACCATCACGCCACACTCCCTAAAAAGACAAAATGGCATATAAAATTACTGAGAAATGCCTGACCTGAAATTCAGCCATCTTCTCCTGTGTCTTTGGAGGAAGGTCACCGTCCTGAGAAGGCATAACTAAGGAAAGACGAGGAAGCCATGAGACAAATGTCAGGGCTGCCATTAGCCCAGGTCAAGCACGGACCCCTTACTTCCGGACACACGCCACCACATCCAGCGCAAAAGAAATCAGAAGCACACACCGGACGTCAGCGACTAGCAGACCCCTTAGCTCATCTGGGGAGCAAACCTGTACAACCAGCTTCACCCTTCCTACCGTAGAGTTTCAGACTCTGGGAATGGCGGGGCATGAGAGCCAGTAAGACAACACACAGGCGATGGATGCGTGGGGGATGACAGTAAGAAAAAGGGGGAAAGCAGGACCCGAATGCCTGGCTCAGTTTCCGGAAGTATTATTTTGTGCTCTAACAAATAAAGCTTGCCTGGAGATCAGAGTGCAGAGCGAGCCGCCCCTAGGTAACCATAGAGGCCAGGCAGTGGTGGCTCACACCTTTAATCCTGGCACTTGGGACCCTCATGCCTTTAATCCCAGAACTAGGGAGGCAGAAACAGGAGGTGATAAGGCTGGACGGAGGTAAGAGTCAGCCTCTTTTTGGTCTGGGGATTTCGTAGCGGTAAGAACTCTGGTGTCTGGCTGCTCTGCTTCTCTGGTCTTTCAGCTTTCACCCTCTACTATCTGACTCCGGGTTTTTATTATTAAGACCAATTACAGCTGGGCAGTGGTGACGCAAGCCTTTAATCCCAGCACTCGGGAGGCGGAGGCAGGCGGATCTCTGTGAGTTCGAGGCCAGTCTGGTCTCCAGAGCCAGGGACAGGATAGGCTCCAAAGCTACACTGAGAAACCCTGTCTCGAAAAACCAAAAGAAAAAAAAAAAAAAGACCAATTAGAATTTGTGCTACATTACTTACTATCCTGCACAGGGAATGTTAGAAACCACAACCGTAATTTCTGCCTACCTCACAGGGTGCCACCAAGAACTAAATGAATAGATGGAAAGTTATAAGAATAGGGAATAGAAAAAGAAAATAGGGGAAAGAGACTTGACTCGATGGTTGCAAAGGACCTGGGTTCAATTCTCGGCACTCACATAGTAGTTTACAACCGTCTGCAATTCCAGTCCAAGGGATCCAACACCCTCTGTGGGCCTCTGTGGGTACCTCGCACTTAAGTAACGCACATAAAACAATAAAATAAATGAACCTAAAATCATTTTAAAGACTAGGAAATCCCTTTTCTTAGAGAGAAAAAAAAGATATTTTGCAATACGAACTATTTATGCAAACACTGTGCTCCTATGAAAGTTACCTTTAATTTGTAAAAAGCCTAATTCTGACCTAAAATACCTTAGCTAAATATTTTTGCCCCACAGTAATATTTTATTGGCAATGGTATCTAAAAAGTGTCATTTTATTAGTTGAACAAAAATGAAGGAAATGGGTATGAACATGGAAAAAATGGATTACAAGAGGTTATGGAAAAACAGCATGCATCTATTTAGTATTTTTTGGTGTATTGTTTTGTTGGAGATGGGGTTCAGTATCCTGGAACTAGTTATGTAGACCAAGCAGGCCATGAAGCCATAGAGAGCCAAGCGCTTCTGCCCCAGCAGTGCTGTCACTAAAGGCTTTCGCCTTGTCCTTGGGCCACTTTAAAAAAAAAAAAAAAAAGTTCAGGAAAGCATGGCTGTGGTTCTGAGAAAAGTCAGGCCCCTAAGACACAATTTAAACCAAGTAAGAACGAGACTGATTTGCCTCCCAGGCACAAGGCTGTTTAGACCCCACCGCCAGCTTAAAAAGTCATTGTCAAATTTTAAGTATGTTTGTGTTTTTCAGAATGAGAATACATGCCGACTCACTTTTATGTTTTTGCTATGAATAACAACCCCCATTTATCAAGTGTGTGCGCTATGAATGTGTATGGATATTTATGCATGCCTGTGTAGTGGGAATGTTGTAGTCACTGTATCTAGGGTAAACATTAGAACGTAATAGGTGAATCTCACCGGTGTTATGATAAATGGGGGGGGGGGCTAGCCTGGGAGACCTTGGGGGATTCATGGTGGGTGAGGGTCACCAAGGCGGAGGGACAAACATGCCAGGCAGACAGAGCTTAAGTGAGAAGTTTTATTAGAGGGGGAAGGGGGAAGGAGAGGAAAGAGAAAAGAGGTAAAGAGACAGAGAGACAGAGAGACAGAGAGGAGGGAGACAGGAAAAGTCCCGTCTGCCCCAGGGGAACAGCTGGAAAGAGACAAGCAGGCAAAGAGAGCTGGAGAAAGCCAGCATGAGTGGGCGGGGTCTGTCTTTGCACCTGAGAGCAGACTATGAAATGATGGAACCCTGGGATGACCAGGGTACTGACTGAATGCATTCTGCCAGGTGACAGGGGGCAGGCCAGCGTAATGCCTGAGGCCTTACAGCTGGATTCAGGGTAACAGTAGAATGAATTAGTGCTTGTTGGAGGTACTAAGACCTTGAGGAAATTATTGTAGAGCACGGTGATTGTTTTCTATGATTTAGAGAGCTGATTTTTCTGAGGAGGTTTTCAATGTTGCATGACTATAGTCACAAGACTATCCAGACACACTTGGAGCATATTGCATTATTGGGTGCTGCAAACAGCGTACAATAAGGACTAAAGGCTGCTGGGGTGTGTGTGATGACTGCTTTCCGAGAACGTACAGATCAAGGGGGCTTTGGAATGAGGAACTTGTACTACCCAAAAAACAACCTGTGTGTGACAATCATTAAATACGCTTTTAAACAGCGGTACTGAGTTTCGATCCATCAGAGGCTGCACTTTCCTACTGCTAAAGAGCTTAAAATTACATTCTGGAGTGACTCTCCTTGGAACACAACACAGAACACCCATGCATGTGGAGGCCTGAAGCTGAAGCCAGGAATCAGCCTTCCTTTTCCATCTCATTCATTCACTGAGAGGAAGGGTCTCTCAATCAAACCCAGAGCCCACTGATAAGGGCAGTTTTGCTAGGCAGATTGCTCTACCGATCCCATCTCAGCTGCCTAAGGCTAAGCTCACCTGACATTTACATGTTGTTTCTGGGGGATCCAAACTCCAGTCTTGGATCGCTTTAACCTCCCCAGCCCTAGATATCAATTTTTATAAGAATGACAACGTACATTCCAAACCAACTGACGACTAAATGGGACAAAACTGAGGCATGAAAGGCCAACAAGAGAAAGCAATGCAGGACCTGGTAAGTTAAAAGAAAAAAACCAACAACAAAAACATATATACATGTCTATAGAAAGAGATGTATGTAATATAGAAGGGGGTTATTTTCCTAATCTAAGAAGCTTTGCACTTGAACTCAAGCAATCCTAAATACAAATTAGCAAGTAGACTGAGCACAGATATATATATATATGTATATATATATATATATATATATATGAACGTATATGT